GGGATCCGGAAGCACTTTGCTGAAGTGCTCGTCATAAGTCAGCTCGGGGGCATCATAGCAGCAGACCAAAATGTCATGGCTGAACATGATGAAGGGTTCGTCGTCTTCTTTTCTCTCCTCCACGGGCCGTAGAGTTGGGCACACAGGCTGGATGGGGAGCGGGAACGCCTCCGTGTGAAGGTTCCAGTTCTCGATCGTCTCTTTGAAATGCCTCATGTCGTCATCAACTTCTTCATCTTCATGAACTGCCACCGCAGGTCCATCAAGGATCTCGCTCCTGGTCTCCCCGCGGCGATGCACCCTCCCACTCGTGGGATCCATGGTGTGCTTCTGACACCACTCAGAAACCTCTTTCAAGTCGGAACGGCGACCACCAGTGGGGTGCTTTCTTGAATTCAGAGCCGCTGGCATCTTCTGTCTCTCTCTAACCTCCGGCCGGATGACAGAGCTGTGCTTCGCCATTGCAAGCCCTGAGCAGCCACCGAGGCACACCGACGAACACAAACGTGGATTTGAGCTTGGCTGAAGCTTCTCTCAAGACCGTGAGTTCATGATCCGAGCTTGATGCCAACATGTGCCTAACGAATCCTGAAGCCATCGAATCGAAGAGGTTGAGTGCTGCAGGGACTTGCAACAGAGCGGACTGAGCGAGCTACCCTTCAGATTTGCAGACCAGGCACCGTGGTAATTCACATGGACACGGCATTCATGGACCTGCTCGAGGCACAGACCCCGCAGCCCACCCAATGGAAACTACCGAACAACAGCTGGATACGACGAGTTACCCCAGGATGTGCATACATCCTCACATGACCGACTGTGATCATTACAATTATTACAATGATCTCGACTATTACTATTACAACTTTGTCACCATTGTTGCCATGATTTCTACTAGCAGTACTATAATCGCAATCATTACATGATTACTAGTGTTACGATTATCCCCCAGTTTACTATGCAACAACCACCCTTTTCCGTCTCCGCCCTTGGTGCAGACATCCCTACAATGAGCTCAAGTGTTGCAGTACATTTTAATATTCATCTAAATATGGTAGACTGGTAAGACTTATCTAGACATACTCCTAGTTGTGGGTGCCTTGCCCACGCAGCCACGAGGGACGTACGCAAGCGCCCAGTGCCACATTCCGTGCCTTGTCAGCTGCAAAGAAGCGAGCAGAGGCTTTGCATTCAGAGATGTGTCGTTTAGAGTTGTTGGTTTAGGGGATTTTGAAGGTTTCAGGATCTGAAATAGAACAACAGAGACGTGTATATGTTCTGCCTCCCACTAGAAAGGAGACTCTCAATAACTCCACTCATATGGGTGGTTGTCAAAATTATGGTCCCTTCTTGGGTCCTTAGTATAATACAGCACCTACTATTAAAAGGGACCATAATTTTGAGAACTACCCATATATTCAAATATGGGCACCCGAAGCTCCCAGCCCCGAAATTGATCCGAGATCGGTGCCGGTTGGGGGCCTGGGCGGTGTTTGTCCTTGGCGTGCATTCAGGGATTTGCACCTCAGGGTTTAGGATGTCGAGTTGGGGGTTGCAACAGAAAAGCCAGTAATTAGACATACGGATGCGCCCACAAAAGCCTCCTTCCTCTCGAATAAGAGCTACAATCTGTTGGAAAAGCTTTGTGGGAGAGGTCCTTCTTGCCTCGTCTCCTCGTATAGATGGCGTTTGGTCCCTGCGGACTCTCCCTTCTTGCCGGAAGATGTCGTAAGTAAGGCGAAGCACCCTCCGGGAAAAAGTCCGACATCACGCAAAGCTGCAGTTCCAACACAGAGCAAAAAAGAGTCGAGGATGTCAGACATATGAGGCTTGAGGCATCCCGAATTCACTGTGGCCCTAAATCAGACACCTTTCTGTGCGTTGCGAAGCCCCATACATCTCCTACGACACGGACGATTACGACCAGCGCTATCTTTTCTGAGCAGCTCCATGAAAATAAATGCTCATTGCAAATCCTAGGCCCTACCTATAGTCTCCACTGTAGTTCCTTTTTTGGTTAACCCATTTTATGGTCAGGATCCTATAATATATAAATTTGGTTAACAAAAAAAGGAACTACAATGGAAACTATAGGTAGGCCCTAGGAGAGATTCCAGAGCCTTTTATGACGTCGTGCTGATACCTGCACCTCTGTACGAACCAGGCTTAAGTTAAGGCAGTCAGAGCCTACCTTTGATCCGAGCATCTGGGTGGAACCGGTCGTCGTGTTAACGTCCGAGTCCCGCCGTGGAACATATTTCCACCTGGGCACCACCAGCCCCGGACAAATCGGACTTTCCAAGGCTACAGGCAACCTTTCTGCAATCTGGAGAAGCAAGAGAATCCACGAGCACGAGGCACAAAAAGCTGCAGTTTCGGGTATGCACGAGGGATCCCTCCAATTCTGCAACCCTTGACTTGACGAGATTCTGGTTGATCCGGCGCAGGACTGGATGCACCTGCGGCTTCTGTGCTACCGCAAAGGATTGCTATAGGCTGTGTGGATCCTGCGATGCGGGCGCCTGCTAGACAATACCTCCGGAGTTCTTGTTCGGGGAAACAATAAGCATCCAACAATCTTGAAGAGCTGGTTAATAGTTTCAAGGTAGCATACTAACTATCTTCATGCTACTTACTGTCCCACCCAACACCTGGATCTGGGCAATATTGGTCGGAAAGTCTGGAATTAGCAATGAAGAGGAAACCATCTTAAGCGAATCAGAAGCACAACCTAGTGATCGCAATCATATCAACAAAGCATATGACTACGTGTGTGCGGGCACGTATGTATGTAGGCATGTATGTAAGTATGTATGTATGCACGTATGTATGTATGTATGTATGTATGTATGTATCTACGTATGTAGGTATGAACGTATGTAGGTATGTACGTATGTATGTATGTATGTATGTATGTATGTATGTATGTATGTATGCGTTTTGTCTGTCTGTCCGTCCGTCTGTCTGTCTGTCGGTCTGCCTATCTGCATGTATGCATGTATGTATGTACGTACGTATGTATGTATGTATGTATGTATGTATCGGCATATGTATGTATGTAGGTAGGTAGGTAGGTAGGTAGGTAGGTAGGTAGGAAGGAAGGTAGGTAGGAAGGTAGGAAGG